CATCAGCATCAGCAGCATCAGCAGCAGCAGCAGCAACATCAGCAGCAGCATCATCATCATCATCATCATCATCATCATCATCATCATCATCATCATCATCATCATCATCATCATCATCATCATCATCATCATCATCATCATCATCATCATCAATCATCATGAGCATCATCATCAGCAGCAGCATCATCGTCATCATCAGCGTAGTCATCATCATCAGCAGCAGTATCATCATCGCCAGCATAAAAATACTAATAACAATAAAAAGAATATATGCAAATAATAATAACAATAAAATGAATAACAATGATGAAAAAAAATCAAGAAGGAGAAGGACCCTCATCATCATCAGCAGCATCATCATCGTGGTCGTGATCATCATCAGCAGCATCATCGGCATCATCATTAGCAGCAGACGCATCAACATCATCATGATCATCATCATCATCATCACCATCATCATCAAAATTATCGGCATCATTATCATCATCATCATCATCATCATCATCATCATCAGCATCGTCATCGTATTTGTCAGTATATTCTCCATCAAAATCATCAAAATCGTCATCGTCATCATCAGCATCATCATCAGCAGCATCATCATCACCACCACCATCATCATGATCATCACCACCAGCACCACCATCATCAGTTGCATCATCACCATCACCACCATCATCATCACCATCATCATCATCATTAAACTAATCAGCATCATCATCCTCATGATCATGATCAGTACCATCATCATCACCATCAGCGTCAGCATAGGCATCATCATCAACACCATCAATATCAGCCTGATCATCATCATCAGCATCATCATCAGCATGATCAGTATCATCGTCGTAATCCTCATCATCAGCAACATCACCAGCACCAGCATCATCATCGTAATCAGCGACTACTGCATCATGATTTCGCTACCTGCTTCTCCTCATCATCCTTCTCTTCCTCTAAATGATCAACATACTCGGCAGCAGCAGCAACATCAGCAGCAACATCAGCAGAACCAGCATCAGAACAATCGTCATCGTCATCGTCATCCCCACCATCATATCACATCATCATCATCAACAAACGCCAGCAACATCCGCATCAGCAGCATCATCGCCATCCGCACCATCATCACAATCATCATCATCATTGGCATCATCATCATCACCATCAACAGCATCGTCGTCATCGGCATCATCATCACCATCATCAGCATCGTCATCGTCGTCATCATCATCAGCATCATCAACATCCTCATCATCAGCATCAGCATCAGCACCGTCCTCCTCATCATCAGCATCAGCTTTATCATGAGCATCATCACCATCCTCATCATCATCATCATCATCATCATCATCATCATCATCATCAGCATCTCATCAGCATCATCATCAGCATGTTCATCGTCATCGTCGTCATCAGCATCATCTTCATTATCATCATGAGCATGAGCCCCATCATCATCATCCCCATCATCATCATCATCATCATCATCATCATCATCATCATCATCATCATCATCATCATCATCATCATCTCGTCGACACCAACGATGACGTCCATATTTGGACGGACCATGTACGTCGACGCCCAAGTCCATGTACCATGTACCAATGACCAGCATCGCTGCTCCGTTTCTGTGGTCAGCGACATCTGGGAGAAGACAGGCTGGCGGGGCATGGGCCGACAACACGAGGCGATCAGGTCCCCGAAAGACCCCGAAAAGCCACGTGGGGAGTGGCCAGCACGGTGCGGACGACGTGGGGCACGCAGGCGGCGGAGAGGCGGAAGAGGTGGCAAGCCCAGAGGCGGGCATGACAGTTGTCCCGTCGGCGGCGAGGCCAAGGGTCGTCCGCTCTGGCGAGGCAGACTTAACGGGGGCGCCGTTGAAGCGAACTGGCCAGCATGCAGGAGGGAGCAAAAGGAAGAGGAGGGGCGGCCGCAGAGGAGGGGGGCAAGGGGGCGGGCACTGCACACCTCTGCCCCGGGAGCCTCGTCGAGGAGACGCGCGACGAGAACCCGAAAGGGCTCGCGCAGCGCTCTCCCTCGTGCTGCCCGCCCCCGGCGGCCGCCGAGGCAGATGGGCGCCAGCGCCGGCGTCAGCCTCCCGGCGGCCGCGCAGAGGCGACGGGCGGTGGCGGCACGCAGAGATACGGGGGTGGCGCGCGGGGACGGCCTCCTGCGACGGCGGGGGGGGACTGCGCGAGGGGGCGGGAGCCACTTCTGGAGGGCCCAGAGCTTCCAGGGAGCCCCGCTGCAGGAAAAGTTTCCGGGCCCTCTGCACCCGGGCACCCGTTGCCTCACGAGCCCCGCCCGCCTCGCCTGCGCTCGCCCCGCCCGCTCGCGCGCGCCGCCGGGGAGGGGGCCGACCCAGGGAGCGGCCAGCCGCAAGTCGGACAGCAGTGCCCGGGGACGCGGCCCGGGGTGCTCGCGTCGCGGGCCCGCGGCCATCGGGGGAGCTTCTTGCGGGGCCACGAAAAGTTTTCCCGGGCGGGGCGGACGCACGCGAATTTCGCCCCTGAGACCCTCGGCGAAGCTCCCCATGGGGCCTGCGCGGGGCGGACGCGCGCGAACTTCGCCACAAGGGCCTTCGGTAAATCCTCGTCTGGAGCCAACGGTTTTTCTCCCGCAGCTGGCGCGGCCCGCGTACCAACTCGCAGTGCCGACCCCATCTGGCAGCTGCGGCTTGCGGCTCCAGGGCTGGACCGCGGCAGCTGTCCGGCTTCTAATCTAAACCCTCTGGCTCTCAGAGAGCTCTCCGGGAAAACAACCTGATTGTTTGAGTTCTTCGGCTCTCGCTTCTGAATCTTCTTTCGCGTGTTCAGAGAAGCGCTGTGCAAGAAAGGAGCTGTACGAGGTGCCCGGCAGTAACCTGGTTGACGGTGTACCGCTGGTTCCCAGTCAGGAAAGCTTTCCAATACGAGTGCCTCTCGGCTCTCCAGGTTTTGGACGCTACCAAGTACCTTGTAGAGCTCTTCGGCATCAACGAGCTAGAGGAATTCCGGCGCGGCATGGAGCTAGTACCTCGTAGAGCTCTTCGTCATCGATGAGTTAAGGAATTCCGGCGCGGGCTGAAGCTAGTTGGCCAACCTGGCCTGGGCGGACAATTTGATGACTTTGGGTCAGTTTTGCTCAAGATTTGACAGATATTTGACAATTCATTTGAGGAAGCAGATTTCATGCACTTGTAGTGGGTTACACCGCACTTGCCAGTGCAATTCACAGGTCCGTAGCTTGAATGTTACTATCGATACACTTGGAGGAACCGACTTTGGGAAACAACGGAAGAACGTAGATTTTCGAGTTTCTCAGCTAATTCTTAAGATAGCTTCTTCCATCTGTTCCGAGCAGCGCCGCGCGAGAAAAGAGCTCTACGAGGTTCCCGGCGGTAACCTGGTTGACGGTTTACGCCGGCTCCCAGTTGGCTCACCCGGCCCGGGCGAAGAATGCGGTAACTGGCGCCGGCGGTGAACCGTCAACCTCGTCACCGCCGGGAACCTCGTAGAGCTCCTTGCACGCGTAAGATTGCTCAGAATCGAAAAAAGAAAGCTTCTGGAAGCATTTTTCGAAAAGAAAAAAATTCATATTTTTTGATGTCGACGTGAAGTTGGTTCCGCCAAGTGCTATGATAGTAAAAGTGTGCCTACAGGGCTCACATCAAGACGCAGAGGCTCTCATAGTTTTCTACCGGTGCGAAAAATCTGCTTTCTTAAAATGAATTGTCAAATGTCTTTTCAATCTTTCCAAGACCGACCTAAAGTCATCACATCTTCTTTTCTGGCCGGGTCGACCAATTGGTAGCGTCCAACTGGCGCCCGCGCTGAACCGTCAACCTGGTCACCGCCGGGAACCTCGCAGAGCTAATCCTACGCGTAAAGTGCTCAGAGTTGAAAGAGAGAGCTTCTCGAGGCATTTCTCGAAAAATTGAACATTTATTGTTTTCATGTCGACATGAAGTTGGTCCCCCAAGTGTTTTGATAGTAAAGTTTCGCCCACAGAACTCATATTGAGACGCAGAGGCCCTCATAGTCGTTTACAGGTGCGAAAAATCTGCTTTCAAAAAATAATCAAATATCTCTCAGATCTCAGCAAAACCGACCAAAAGTTGCCACATTGTCCTTTCTGCTCGGGTCGACCAATGGGAACCGGCGGCAAACCGTCAACCAGGTTACCGCCGGGCACCTCGTAGAGCTGTTTTGTTGCACAGCGCTCCTCGGAACACATGAAGGAAGCTTCTGAAGCGAGAGCCGAAAAACTCGAAAAATCACGATTTCTTGGTTTCCATCCAAAATCGGTTCCTGCAAGTCTTTCGATAGTAATATTGCAGCTACGGACCTGAAAATTTAACTGGCAGACGCAGCATAACCCACTACACGTGAGAAAAAACTGGTTTCTCAAAATGAACTGTCAAATATCTTTCAAACCATAGCAAAACCGACCCAAAGTTACCACTTTGTCTCTTCAGGCCGGGTCGGCCAACTAGCTCCACCCCGCGCCGGAATTCCTCTAGCTCATCAATGCCGAAGAGCTCTACGAGGTACTTGGTAGCGCCCATGGTAGCGTCCAAAACCCAGAGAGTAAAGGAACACACACTGGGCGACGGCGGTAAACCGTCAACCTGGCTACCGCCGGGAACCTCGTAGAGCTCTTTTCTTGCCCAGCTCCTCGGAAGTGAAGCAAGCTTAAGCCAGAGCCAAAAAACTCTAAAAATATTTTTGCGGACTTAGCTCGA